CGGATCTCAACAAGATCATCGAGATCACATCCACTGAGGCAAAGCCTTCGGGAACGTCCGCCGATGACCCTGCTACTGCAAAAGATGCACCTGCCAAGGTTGACCAAGGGGGAGAAGACATGACTTCATCGAGGATTTCGACATGGAGCGTGGTTGGTGGTGATGAATCCAAGCCCAGCGACATGACTTCTTCCAGGATCTCAACATGGACCGAGGCTGGTGGATCTGAAGCCACTGCCATGGACGTTGACTCTGAGAAGAAGGAAGGTGCTGATGCTGCCCGGAAGGGTGTGCCAACTGACACTGCGGTTCCTGAGGCTTCTGCTTCTTCCGAACAGCCTGCTGACAAGACTGCCATTGTCGACCTGACCAAGACCGAGAAGAAGGTGGAGGTTGACAAGCCAGTTGGAAAGCCGGCCGAAAAGAAAATGCCGAAGAGTGAAAAGCAAAAGGCACCCGAGTCCAAAGCGCAGCCCAGACAGAAAGCGCCGCGACTCAGTGTCGAAGCTGATGCAGCCCTTCGCAAGTTGGAAGAAGCAACGGAACGCCAAGAGGGATCAGTATGGTTGGACCCCAATGACATGATCAACAGGATCCCCAAGGAGTATTGCGGCCAAGGGCGACTGAGATTTCTTTCCACAAAGCTATCTTATGTTCTCCGTGGACACGCATTGAGCTATGGTGCTCGCAGCCCAGACATCGATCCCATGGATCTTTCGATGGATTTCGAGGCGGTGATGAAGACGATGGCCCACTACGTCTCCTACCCGAAGATCAGTGAGGTCCTGTCCATTGTGCGCAACAGTGACACCAGGCGCTTCCAGGTGAAAGTGGCCCAGCCCGATTTGCCTGAAGCAACCTGGAAGGGTTTGCCATGGAAGGTTGTCGCCATCAGAGCAGTCCAAGGACACAACCGCGCAGTGGTGGAAAATGCCAAGATTTCATCGCTGGTGAAGGAAGTGTTTACTCTGGATCCAACCTTCTCCAAGGCCGACCTCGACACGCCCAAGTTGCCAAGGACAAATCTTCGTCCAGACCTTGTGCCGGAGTTGATGGCTGCACTCCCAAGGGTTATCTACCATAGCTGCGACAGGCTCGCTATGGAAAAGATAGTTGAACATGGTCTTATCCCAGGTGGCTGGCCCCAAAGAACAGGAAGGGCGCATAATTTCTTTATTGCGTCGCATCCATGGGATAATTCAGTCGGTGGCAGAAAGCTCGCGGGAACGCGAGCCGGGAAGCAATATTACATTGCCTTTGACACCGAGCTCATCGTCCAAAGCGGCTGCCGATTGTTTCGCACAGACGAAGCAATCATAAGCCCTGACTGGATCTCCAACGAGAACATCATTTGCACATATGATGCTGTCAACCGGGAGTTTGCCTGGGTGAATCGCCCCTATGAGATCACACGTGTGGGGTACAACAGCAAAATGAAGACCCACAAGGACCAGGACACTCCGAAGAAAGAAGCCTTGTCCAAGAGTCCGTATGCCAACGCCAGGGACAGTTTGAAGGCCTACCTCATGAGCGGCAAGTCCATTCGACCAGGCCAGATGCAGATGACAGACTCTCCGGAAGAGCTTCCCCCACTTCTTCGTCGACGTGAAGGAACTTCAGGACCTTTTGAGGACAAAGTGACGTTGAAGATGGCCTCCTTTGGTGCTTTGTCCAATGCTGAAACCATCCGCAAGGGCAAGGGCCGGGGAAAAGGCAAGGGAAAAGGAAGCCGCCCGGGAGGGCTGGCCCAGCGCTCAACAAATGCTGAGGATTACATCTACAGCTCAAAGATTGAGATGCAGCAGGTCAGATGCCACTTCTGCGGTGAACAGAACATTGAGGGCACCCACAAGTGTCAGTCGTGCTTCAAATGGCTGATTGCTTGGTCGGATGGAAGAATTGCGACAGAGGTATGCCGGATGGAAATCTCGGCCAAGAAAACTAATAAGGTGTTTTCCCTGGACAAGATCGATTTTGAGAAGCGGCCACGTGCTCAGCGAGTTTCTGACCGCACCCGAGCAGATCAACGTCGAGCTGGACGAAGTAACTTCGGAAATCTCAAGGACGCTGCTCAGACACATGCGGGAAGATACACAAAGCTCGGCTTCAAATCGATCCAGGACCGCATGGAGAAGGACCCATTTTATTTGTTCAACAATGCGGTTGGCCAGATAACCCCTGACTGTTGTCAGTTTTTGGAGGATCTGGCAAAATGCATTGCCCCTGATGTTGGCCGTACCCGAGAGAAGCGAGAAAAGCAGCTGGGAACAGGTGTCAGCACTCGTTTGATTTTTATGCCTGACTTCAACAGAGACATCCGACTCCCGTTGGACGTTACCAAGGAAGCCATGGTTGCACATCATGCACGTGTTTTTACACTCCCACAATTTGCCGTTCTTGCTGCGGACTTGCTGAAAGCGAGGGGGGAACCCACGCCGATGTTATTTGGATGGTCTGGCTCAGTGTTACCTGTGGATCAGGCGTCAGCCCAAGATTGTTTCTTTGACCTCGTCGACTTCGCGAAGAGGCAGTGGAAGGAACAATACAATAACATCAAGGGTGAAGAGCACTCCTTCGTGGATGAAGCCACCGCATCAGATGTGGCTGAGTTTCCATTGGCAAGGTCCTCCAAGACGGGTACTGGCGAAGGGCGAGAAGGATACCGGCGTCACTTTGACCCGATCCAGAAGCCAGCCAAGGGCAAGGGCAAGGGTTATGGTCAGCAACAGCGACCAATCTTTCAGCAGGCCATTGAGTGCTGGAAGTGCGGTCAGTATGGCCACAAATCCTTTGAATGTCGCAGTGGATGGAGCCGAGGGCAACAGTGGGGTTCATATGGATCTTACTCAAGCCGCTCGGGAGGGCAGGCCCAATGGCAAAGCTGGAATTGGAATCAGGGCTACTCTGGCCGAGGTTGGACTGCTGATCCTTGGGGGAGATCGACAGCATCGAGCTCCTCGGCAGCTCCTCCGGAGCCAGTGCAGCCACCTCCAACGGCAACGCCTGTGCCTGACACCACACCAGCTGCTGGCGATTCTGCCCAAGCTGCCTCTGGATCAGCTCCTGCAGCAGAGCCTCCACGACAGGTACCTCGTGCACCAGTTGTGATTGCTGAGGAGTACTGCGAGATCAACGGCCAGCCGCACTTCAAGCGCACCTACAATGATGGGACGGTAGAGTTTGAGTCGTGGTAGATGTTTCACATCTTGTGCCATGATTTTATGCCTACCGGAAGGTTTGGCCGATTGGATGAAAACTGACCCATGGTCATTCAGCTCAATCGAAGTGCACACAGCCTGAAATTCCAACTTGATAAACTTTTCCAATTGCTTCAAAAAGAGTTTGACATCAGCATCCGATCCGTTGCGGTAGTTGCACGTGTACAGATGCCGTGTAGGTTAGCCTGATACAGTAGTTTCCGAACCAAAGGCAATTGAAAGGAATGGTAATGTTCCTATGCCTTGGCGGAAGCCAGGCCAACTTCACTTTTGTCTCTGTCAAACATGTGCCGTGCCTGGATTGAAAAGCAGATGCATCCGAACACCTTTTGCCTCATGCATTCGAGCTATGACCATTTTCGCATAACATTAGGTAGTTGTATGTACAGTGATGTCTGTGTTTGCCCGCTCTCAGGTCACCTCTGGCGGGCTGCTGCTTCCGGCCTCCGTTAATCTGCGGACGGCGGGGGGTGTTTAATATGAATACCCCTGCACATACTGTATTAATTCATCTACCTACGTTATGTTATGGCTCAAGAAAACAAGCGCGTATTGCTGTTCGTTTGTGGCGTGTTGGCCTGTAAAACAAAAAAGATATCACTTCTGTAAAACAAAATTGTTTGGTTTGTTCCAGTATTGTGGTTTGCACTCATGCATCATATAATGAGAATGGCTCCAAAGAATTCACTCCTTTGTGAAGGAGACTGTGCACATACTTGCACCAACATTTTGTTTAAAAAGTAGTATCCTCATTGAAATTTGGATACCACAAAGTCTTTTTTTCTCCCTGAAACAACTTTGCAGAGCTGTAAGTTTGTTCGAAAGTAATTGTATATATTCCTTTCAAGGACAAAAAATATTCTATCAAAACAAAATATGTACACATATTCAGCATACCCTTTAGTGAAGCTTGGCCATCCCTTCAGATTCTTCAATATGTCGTTTCCATAGATAAAGGAAAAACCTTTATTTCCTCAAAATACAGAAGCTGCCTTGAAAGAAAACATTTCCTTGAATAAGAAGCAGCCATAAAATTTGGTTGAGTGATACTAAAGGCAAGTTCAAGCCACCATGTGGGTATATGCAAGGTATACGTATGCTCCTTTAAATGGTATGCTGAAAGTCAAGCAAATTGAAAAATTAAAGGTAAGTACCTAAGGTATATATAAACTTATGGAAAAGTTAGAACAGCAAATGAAATCATACACTAATGGCATCAAAATTCGAAGGTAATCATGAAAATCCCGCGCTGGCAACAAGCCCATCCCTCTCACATAGGCTTGTTGCCAGCGCGCAAAAAAACGTGTTCTAGAGCTCACATGCAGGCCTTCTCACATGAAAAATATCTTGAAGTCAGGAACTTATATGTCAAGTGTTTAAATTGGATTGGATTAATCCAGATTAATCCTAGAACTAAAAAAAACAAAAATTCTGTTTAAATGTCTTGGCTGGTGTCCTGGCGCAGATTCATGACATCTATGTCGCATGCCCTGTTAGCAGCAAGCATGATGTGTGGTATAAAAAGGCAGCTTGAGTGACAAATTTTGGCGCTCACAACACCCCCCTCCCAAAAAAAACTACTTGGTTGATAGGTTTCCCTACTATGGGTTTTAATAATCCCCAATAACCCAGATATATCTGAGGATATGCAAGGGAAATGGGCTTGGACCAACAATAACATTGTTTTCTTCGCCTGTTGGGAATATTTCTGTTGGGAATATGGGATAGTCTGGGTAGAGACACCAGTCCCATGGCACCTTAACCAGCACCTGCTATTCTAAGAGGCTGACAGCTGCCATGCATACCAGCTCATGGTGAAGAGTGGCGTCCCAGCTGAGAACATTATCCTCATGATGCAGGAGGGGATTTAAAAACATCGAATGATCTGAAAGGGATGTGGCTGGTGATTGTGTTGATGGGGTCGGATACTGTAAGGTTGATGTCATGTAGTGGCACACGTTCGTCGAGATTCAAACGATGTTTCACGAAGACAACACTGGATTTCAGTGTTGCTAATTAACAGCACAGTGTGAGACTTGGAAGAAGAATTTTCTTTTCTTGAGGATTGCTGAACCAAACCTCTCCCATGATCCTTCGTTGAAGGATGATGTTGCGAACGACTCCGAGAACCCTTTCAAGGGACAGTTGTACAACAAGCCTGGCAATGACTCCCCAGACCCTTGGCCAAGCAGAAGCACCCAGCGGTTCTGCCCCCCCTTCAGAGTGCCACTGGAACCTCGCTACACATATCCGAACTGAGGATGTCTACAAGGGCTGCAAGGTGGACTACAGTGGCAAGAAGGTGACCGCCCAACTCTTCATGGACGTGCTGACCGGCAACGCCCAGCGAGCCAAGGTCTGGTGTTTGACAGTTTGCAGCCATGAGGGGATGCGGTAGTAACTGTTGGGCATCCAATGTGGTGGTGGCCTTGTTGATAGGAAATTGAGCTTACAGCTATGAGATGTCGTATACGAAAAACTCTAGTTGGAGAAGAGATCTTTCAGCAGTGCTGAGATCTTTCAGCCCATTGGATCGCCAAACTGCGCCAGGGCAAGGTGCTCAAGAGCACCGAGAAGGACACCGTGTCTTGCTTTATGGGGGGTGGTCATTGATCCCAGCAATTGCAATTTGTCCATTTCACCCAGGACTCTTTCTTTGGATTCTGAGGTCTTCGTGAACTTCGTCGACCACGGTGGTGTGGGTCTGGTGGCCTTCCCCAATGGCCCTGTGCTGCACGTGAAGGACTTGGGGGGTGAAGCTGTTTTGGGGACGCTTTGATGATGTGCAACCAACCGGTTGTGACAACATGCCCGAGCAAGTCAGCGGCCTGAAGTGCTTGATACAGTACCCACACCACCGTGAAAATGGCAAAACCATCAAGTATATATATATGTATTATATAGGGATCATTTATAATTACTTTCTTGTATCGTTATCTATCTATCTATCGATCTATCGATCTATCGATCTATCAATCCATTTAGATCGATGTATCGATCTAGCGATCTCTTGATCTATCGATTGATCCATCGATCTATCAAAATATCAATCAATCAATCAATCAATCAATCAAACAATCTTTCGATCCATCTAGATCGATCTATCTATCGATAGATCTATCGATCGATCGATCTATCTTTGTGTCTATCTATGTGGGATGGTCCCTTAGACAGACAGACATGGCACCGATTGCACCTGCAAAAAAAATGGTCCGCACAGGAGCTCTCCAAGACCCTGAGACTCGCCCTGCATTTTTTACGGAGATGGAGTAGTCTGTAGATATGTATAGACTGTATCTGTATCTGTATCTGTATATGTATATTACATTCATGCCCTTGCATTCTACATGCATCTATAGTCTGTGGGAGCATCCCCTAAATGCACTGATTCATGTTGTTGTGTTGAGACTTCATTGCTGAGGAAGACCATGCAGAGCCAGAAGATGTTCAAGCAGTCGGGCGCTTGGTATTCAAACCCTTGCTGGTAGTTCTGGGCTTGAGCATGTGACTCAGCAATTCCAATGAGTTTGGAGTCTCGATCCACTAGTCCCTTGTGGGTTGGTAATCCCCTCGAAATGATCATGGGATTGTGCAGATTGCTAATTGACACGAATTGTCGTGTTGCTTATGACCATGCATTTGACAGGACCTTTTTCAGATCTTTCAAGGATATTTGAACCAGCCTTTTTCATACCTGGTGCCGACATTGTCATTCACCACTGTTCATGTCATGTGCAGATCAGACAGTTTGTTGCACAATCAGCTCCGGGTATCCAACTTGGCAAGGTTGGTCTTCTACATGGAAGCCTGTGACTTGGGCAGGACGGCGTCGTGGGATGGTGGTGGTCAATTGGGTGATTCTGTGATTCACCAAAGAAACATGAATGTTGTCATGAACATCAGTTCCGCAATCACGTTTTTTACAACTGATGTATTGTACGGTGGCATTGGTGTTGGGGCATGAGCTTTAATCTCTGAGAGGATTGATCAAACAGGTTTAGATCATAGGGCACTGCTCTATCTTTTTGTTTGTTTGTATCAAGGATCACTCATTTTTAGTTCTATCTATCATCGATCGATCGATTCATCGCTGATCGACCGATCTATCGATCTATCTATCGATCTATCCAGCTACATACATATAGATGTGCATATATATACATACACATACAATATATCCCTAATGTCTAAATAAGTATATATATATATATTTGTACATATATCATATATCTATCTATATATATACATATAGAGTGTACAGAGATATCTACAACTGTTCCCAGGTTATGGACTCCAACATACGGCATCTCATTCTTTTGACACCGAGGCGAGAGCGGCTCCATGTTCCCAGATCTCACTTCGGATGGCAAGATCCTGGCAGTCACTGCCTCCAATGCCAAGCGCCTTGGTCGCTGATGACGCTGATGATCGGCGATAGTATCTTCAAATATATAAAGTAACCAATATGAATGGAGGTTTCCGAAAATAGGGCTATCCCCTAAATCATTAATTGTAAGAGGATTTTCCATTATAAACCATCCATTGTGGGGTAGTACCATTTATGGAAACCCCCATATGCCAATCAATTTTGATGAACATTGACCTCCCCTTCCGCCTGTCCGGCCATGCTCAGGGAGTCTTCTTGGGGCACCTACTGCGGTGATGAAGCGGTGGTGAAACTTGGCGAAGTGACCGGCTGCTGCATTGCTGACCCCAACCCTTGCTGCTCACCTGTCAGGAAGGGCAAATCCATTGGATCTTGCTTGGGCGCAACTTGCAAGAATTTCTGGTGGAGATTGGAACATGGGTGGATGAGGGGTAAACTTCTCCGCAAGGAAGAGGCTTTTATTGGAGCCAGTCGCTCTTGGTGGGCGATGGGGTGTGCCCAGTGATCTTCCTAGCGTTCCTAGTAAAGTTTCTTCACTTCCAATCAGCTCAATGTATTTCGTTCATCCCTGCTGATTGGTAACCTTCAGCAGACATCCTCCAAGGATCTGTTCTCCGTGAACTGGATGCAGGATGATGATCTCGGCAAGTCACTTTGAATGAAGTAGATGAGTTTGGATGGGGGAAGTGTTGATGGTTGGAACATCACTACCTCCTTTTTTTGCATTTTGGTTTGAGGGATTGGGGTCGATTTCCAGCAAAATGGCAACTTCTGGGTGATCCGAACATCTTTTTTCCGCGGCAAGTATGGCTGGCGTTTTGGGCTTCGATGGGTCGGGCTCGAGGTATTCCTCCGAGACTTTCCGCTCCCAGATCCAGAAGATCACCAAGTTGACCAACAAGAGCATCTTGCCATTGAACACATGGGACACATGGGCATCACGGGCTGGGAACCACATGGCCCCTGTTGGCAGAAAAACTTGGCTGTAGCTTCAAACCATAGCACAGAGATCATCCCAGTATCTGGAAACTACGAAAAACTCATCCTAAGCTTCAAATTCCAAGTTTTCATAGCCAAACCTGTTGATCCTGCCGAGATCGATCGAACAAATCTGTGACCCGTGACACCGCAGGCCACGTGTGCAGCTTCGGCGACAAGTCCTTCGAGAACGAGGCCATTGGTGACGTGGAGGCCCTGGCGGCCACGGAATCCATGGACGTTGCCCGCGGCTCCGTGGACACGCGCGACATCTATGTGAACCAGGTCAGGATGGTTAGGATGGTCAGGAGATGATGATGATGATGATGATGATGGTGGTGGTGGTGGTGGTGATGATTTTTGGCGGGTGGTGCGGGGTGGTTGTTTTGTTTGAAATGTGGGAACTTGCAGTCAGAAGAACATAGTTTACTTTTGGAAAATCATGAGGCGTTCTGGGCATGGAACAATGCTGCAGCTGAGGACAAGGCTGGAAATGGGCGGGAGGTTCTTCTGAACTTCATGGAACCCCAATTATCCACTTTCAGAAGCCTAAGAAAGAATTTTAGATGATATGGTGAAAGGATGTGAGCCGCATTTTATCCAACGTGTGGTCATGACTTTGCCTATTGATGCTTTATTGAAGCCTTGGATCCATGCTGAAGGGTTCGGGAGAGCCTAACCAAGGAGGCGGCCTGGAAGAAGTTGGTGCAGGTCGTGAGACTTGGCACAGATGGTGCTTGGGTCACCAAGCATGGCTGGTGGCTGGTTGGTTTGAACCAAAACCGATCCCAAATGAATCACTGATTCTTCCACGTTCGTCACATGTGATCATTGTGATCCATCCTGATTTCCCTATATCCATCATGTCAATCATTTCTCCTGTGGTTGTGATCAACCCTTTCCTTCGAAAAAATTGCCTCAGGAAGAGCCGCGAGGCTGATGACGCCGTCTTCCAGAGCATCACATCCAAGGCCTGCTCCGACGTCCCGGAGCTCAGCGATAGGAGGGGATGGCCCATCCCACAGCTGGAATCCTGGACTGCTAAGGTCAACAAGGAGGGCTGCCAGAAGAAGCTCCAAGGACGGGTGTCGGCTTTCAATGTGTGTACTTTCAGCACCTCTGCATCGGATGATGATCCCAGTTGACAGCTGTTGGTATGGCTTGAAAGCACCCAACCACTTGTTGCAATGCCCAGCAATGCCCAGTAATTAGCTATTTTTCTCAGCCCCAAAGAGCTCGGAACATCTCCCGGCATCGCCATGGCAAAGCCACAGGTCGCATCTAAGTGCGTGAAGACTGTTGTTTTGCTGACAGCTTTGGCTTTTGTCGTATCCCTTTGGCGACCCTCTCCAGTTCCCCCTGCGTTCGTCGGACTCTCCAGCGCCGTCAGAATCAGCTGCACGGCACGGAATGCTGTGGGGGTGTTCTATGCCACTCAGACAGGCAACACTGAGACGGTAGCAGGAAAGATTGGTGAGGCCGTAGGCCTTGAAGCTTCGGACTATGATGGAGAAGATTTCGCGGACCTGGATGGTGTGATTGCGGGCTGCCCAACTTGGAACACCGGGGCAGATGAATATCGATCAGGAACCACCTGGGATGACTATGTGGACAGCATCAAGGAGTATGACCTCAGTGGTAAAGTAGTAGCAGTCTTTGGCTGTGGGGATTCACAAGGTTATGCAGACAACTTCTGTGATGGAATTGAAGAGCTTCACGATGCTTTTGAAGCAGCAGGTGCAAAGATGATCGGATATGTGGATGCATCTGGCTACACCTTCGGGGAGTCCAAGAGCGTAAAGGATGGTAAGTTCTTGGGACTCCCGTTAGATGAAGACAATGAGGATGATCAGACAGATGGCCGAATCGCTGCTTGGGTGGAGCAGTTGAAATCAGAAGGTATGCCTTTTTGAAGGCATCATGAACGGATGCAAAGACATAGCAGATATGGGCCATTGATTACCATCTACTGTTTCTCTGAGGTTAATTCGCGACCATCCAGGCAAACGCCGGGATGTTGTGGGACTGCATGAATTTGTAAAGAAGAGTTATACAGACCTTTTAAAGACTTGGAATCAATTTGTAAGTCTTTTAATTTAGTCTGAGCCACTTTCACAAGGACTTGGTTGTTTGAGAGAAGCGGGCTTTTCTTAATACTTTTTGTTCATTGACGAGCAACACACACACATGACAGGTGCAAAATAGAACTATAATAGAACTCTGATTTTGTGGAGGGCCTTCCTGGGCTTCAGACATTAAATTTTGGCTGCCCCAATGACAGGATTTCTGCTTGGGCATTGAGCATTTCTTATGCATGACGCGACCGCGTCCACCGATCCTTTGGCCTCCGTCCATATTGAGAAACATCGCGATGCAAGAAGAGAAATGAAGAAACATCGCGATGCTCATGGGAGTGGAGAGTTTGTGTGTGCACAAAGGTCACAAAGGTCACAAAGGTCCCTTGGACAAATTTTGGCAAAGGTCCTCTGCCTTGCGTTGGCGAAGCGGAGTTTCCGTTGGATCCCCCCGGAGTGTGGTGTAGTCATGTGTAGTCATGAAACTGGCAGCTCGACCAAGAGTTCACAGGAAAAATCTTGGGTTTACAACCGCAAGCTGTCAACCAGGAGACCAGAATGATGTGAAGGAAGTGGAGTGCCACTACAACTTGGTCCACACTCTCCACCAGCACTGCCCCGTCCTTCGGTTGAACGTGCCACTAGAGCCACTGTAGATCAGGTGGATAGCTGGAGATAGCGAACCTGCAACCAATCTCAAAGGGAATCCAAGGGATATGCGACCAATCCCGAGCAGCTCTTGTAGATATCCCTGCCACAGACCATCCCCGGGTTTGAGGCTTCTGAGAGCCACTACTCCAAGGGTGGCTGGAATGGCTACAACATGAAATACTCCCAGGCAAGACGCCAGATTTGACCCATTCACAGCCTTTGTGTCCCAAGTGCTCGGCTCTTGTCAGGTGCTGGCCAACCTGTGCGAGAACCAGGTGCCTGGGAAAGCCCATGCAAGGGCTCGGAGCCCACGAAGCCCTGGGGGCTACATCCCTAATATTCTTGCTTGCGTCATGAAATCGCTTCATGTTGCATCGCCGGATTTGTTCCATGCTCATCAAAGGAAGTTGGGAAGCAATCTTCCGAGTTACGGACAAATAGAATTGTGAGACTTTACATCACCTAAAAAGACATTCATGAAGGGCGGTGTGAGACTTTACATCAAATAACGATACATTCATGAAGGGCGGTGTGAGACTTTACATCAAATAACGATACATTCATGAAGGGCGGTGTGAGACTTTACATCAAATAACGATACATTCATGAAGGGCGGTGTGAGACTTCACATCAAATAACGATACGTTCATGAAGGGCGGTGTGAGACTTTACATCAAATAACGATACATTCATGAAGGGCGGTGTGAGACTTTACATCAAATAACGATACATTCATGAAGGGCGGTGTGAGACTTTACATCAAATAACGATACGTTCATGAAGGGCGGTGTGAGACTTTACATCACCTAAAAAGACATTCATGAAGGGCGGTGTGAGACTTTACATCAAATAACGAGACATTCATGAAGGGCGGTGTGAGACTTTACATCAAATAACGATACATTCATGAAGGGCGGTGTGAGACTTTACATCAAATAACGATACATTCATGAAGGGCGGTGTGAGACTTTACATCAAATAACGATACATTCATGAAGGGCGGTGTGAGACTTTACATCACCTAAAACGACATTCATGAAGGGCGGTGTGAGACTTTACATCAAATAACGATACATTCATGAAGGGCGGTGTGAGACTTTACATCACATAAAATACATTCATGAAGGGCGGTGTGAGACTTTACATCAAATAGATACATTCATGAAGGGCGGTGTGAGACTTTACATCACCTAAAAAGACATTCATGAAGGGCGGTGTGAGACTTTACATCAAATAACGATACATTCATGAAGGGCGGTGTGAGACTTTACATCAAATAACGATACATTCATGAAGGGCGGTGTGAGACTTTACATCAAATAACGATACGTTCATGAAGGGCGGTGTGAGACTTTACATGACATTCATGAAGGGCGGTGTGAGACTTTACATCACCTAAAAAGACATTCATGAAGGGCGGTGTGAGACTTTACATCAAATAACGATACATTCATGAAGGGCGGTGTGAGACTTTACATCACCTAAAAAGACATTCATGAAGGGCGGTGTGAGACTTCACATCACATAACAATACATTCATGAAGGGCGCTGTGAGACTTTTTTCCACATAACCAAACATTCACGAAGGGCGGCGTGAGACTTTACATCAAACAACGATACATTCACCAAGGGCGCTGTGAGACTTTAAATCACATAACCGTACATTCATGAAGGGTGGCGTGAGACTTTACATCAAATAACGATACATTCATGAAGGGCGGTGTGAGACTTTACAGCACATAACAGTACATTCATGAAGGGCGGTGTGAGACTTTACATCACCTAAAAAGACATTCATGAAGGGCGGTGTGAGACTTCACATCACATAACAATACATTCATGAAGGGCGCTGTGAGACTTTTTTCCACATAACCAAACATTCACGAAGGGCGGCGTGAGACTTTACATCAAACAACGATACATTCACCAAGGGCGCTGTGAGACTTTAAATCACATAACAGTACATTCATGAAGGGTGGTGTGGGACTTTACATCAAATAACGATACATTCATGGAAGGGCGGTGTGAGATTTCACATCACATAACAATACATTCATGAAGGGCGCTGTGAGACTTTACATCACAAAGCGCTACATTCACCAAGGGCGCTGTGAGACTTTATATCACATAACAGTACATTCATGAAGGGCGGTGTGAGATTGTACACCGAATAACCATACACTCATGAAGGGCGGTGTGAGACTTTCGATCACATAACAATATATTCATAAAAGGCGGTGTGAGACTTCACATCGCATACCACTACATTCATGAAGGGGGCTGTGAGACTTTTTTCCACATAACCAAACATTCACGAAGGGCGGCGTGAGACTTTACATCAAACAACGATACATTCACCAAGGGCGCTGTGAGACTTTAAATCACATAACAGTACATTCATGAAGGGTGGTGTGGGACTTTACATCACAAAGCGCTACATTCACCAAGGGCGCTGTGAGACTTTATATCACATAACAGTACATTCATGAAGGGCGGTGTGAGATTGTACACCGAATAACCATACACTCATGAAGGGCGGTGTGAGACTTTACATCTCATAACAATATATTCATAAAAGGCGGTGTGAGACTTCACATCTCATACCACTACATTCATGAAGGGGGGGTGTGAGACTTTACATCACATAAAAAGACGTTCATGAAGGGCGCTGTGAGACTTTATATCACATAACAATACATTCATGAATGGCGGTGTGAGACTTCACATCAAATAACGATACATTCATGAAGGGCCTCGTGGGACGTCACATCAGAGAACGAACCCTTGTGCTTTTCTGTGTAAAGTGCATGATTGCTGTTACGTTCTGGTGCCATGTGTGTCGAAACATGCGGGTTAAAGACCTGATGCCGCAAAACGCATTGTAATGGCTGCGTCACTGTTGCATGGGGTTTGTTTTGGGGAGGAGGCCGGAGCATGAAACTTCTGTGTTTTTCCGTGAAAAGTGGCTGCAGCTGGCGATAAAAGGTATCTCGTATGTGCGGCGGTTGTGGCTGCGGTCGTTTCAATGTCGAATCGGTGCTCCCTTGGTGTTCTGCAACGTGTTGTTGTTCATTGTGCGTAGTTGTAGGGTGTTTTGGTATCTGTGCTCGCACCAGTACTACTTTGTACTACAAAGTTTGCACAAATGCAAGCTTTTACACAAAAACGTTTTTATAGAGAGAAACTTTCTGGTACATACTGACAACAGAAATTGCAGCCCGAAAACCGACTGAATCTCGGCGCCAAAGCAAAAAAAACACGATTTTGAAGCACTTTTTTAAAAGAATTTGAAAGGAAATTAGCAGCGCCACAATTGAAAAAATCTGCTGACAAATCACTATCTCAGCTTTGATGCAGCCACTCCAATACGATTTACGATGTCCAGCTGCAAAAGACACTAGTATTACGCATGCAGCCGCGGCACCAAGCAACCTTGATGCAGCCATTACAATGCGATATCGAGATATTGACTTGCAAAACACAATATAACTAACATAATATAACTACGCTCAACAGCATGAGAAATTGCACCTCCAAAACCGGATGGATCTCGGCGCCAACGCAAAAAAAAGATTTTGGAGCACTTTTAAAAGGAACTTTAATAAAAGGAAAATCAACAACGCCAAACTTGAAAAAATCTGCTGCCATTCACAATCGCAACCTTGATGCAGCCACTACAACACGATTTACAATGCCCAGCTGCAAAGGACAATAGTTTTACGCATGCAGCCGCGGTACCAAGCAACCTTGACGCAGCCATTACAATGCGTTTTGCAGCATCACATGGCTAACCCGAATCTCTCCACGCACATGGCAACAGAACATGGCAACAATCAGGCAGCCAGTACGCCCATGCAGACATCACAATGCATTTTGCAGCATCACGTAGCTTACCCGCATGTATCTACGCGCATGGCAACAGACCATGATAAGAATCACGCAGCCATTACGCTGCGATCTGCAACCAAGGAGTCAACAAGCACAAAGAACTACGCACACATGAACAACCACACGTTGCAGAACACCAAGGGAGAACCGATTCGACGTTGAAACGACCACAGCCGCAACCGCCGCACACACAAGGTACCTTTCATCGCCGGCTGCAGCCACTTTACAGATAAACACAAGGTTTCGTGCTCCGGCTTCCTCCCCAAAACAAACCCCATGCAACAGTCATGCAGCCATTACAACGCATTGTGCAGCACCACGTCTTTAACCCGCATGTCTCGACACACATGGCAACAGAACGTAACAGCAATCTTGCACTTTACACGGAGAAACACGAACGTTCGTGCTCCGGCTTTCTCCCCAAAACAAAACCCCATGCAACAGCGACGCAGCCATTGCAATGAGTTTTGCAGCATCACGTCTCTGACCTGCATGTCTCGACACACATGGCAACAAAACGTGACAACAATCATGCAGCCATTACCCTGCGACCTGCAAGCACAGATGCCACAACACCCTATAACTGCACACGTTGCAGAACACCAGGGACGACCGCAGCCGCAACCGCCGCACATACTAGGTACCTTTCATCGCCGGCTGCAGCCACTTTACACGGAAAAACATAAAGTTTCGTGCTCCCAAACAAACCTCATGCAACAGTGACGCAGCCATTACAATGCGTTTTACAGCATCAGGTCTTTAACCCGCATGTCTTGACACACATGGCAACAAAACGTGACAACAATCATGCAGCCATTAAACTGCGATCTGCAAGGGGCATACTTTGTGAAAGCTTGGTAGTACAAAGTAATACTGGGTAGTACTTTGTGCAAGCTATGTAGTACAAAGTAGTACTGGGACGTGCTTTGTGCAAGCTTTGTAGTACAAAGTAATACGGGGTAGGACTTTTTTATGCAAGCTTTGCAGTACAAAGTAGTACCGGTGCTTTGTGCAAGATTTGTAGTACAAAGTAGTACTGGGAAGTACTCTGTGCAAGCTTCGTAGTACAAGGTAGTAGTAGGAAGTGCTTTGTGCAAGCTTTGTAGAACAAAGAATTTTGTAAATGCTTTTCTGTGCAAATTTATCTGTGTCCCAAGCTTCTGTGTGGAAAAGGTTTCTCTGCTTGCAACGTTTTTGTGTGAAATAGATTTTTGTCTGACAGTAAAAACTTTCTGGCGTGCAGAAGGGCTGAGATGAGTTGAGAAGAACTTCCAGGAGATGAGAAAGGTTGATCAGTGCTCTGATGAGATGAAAACAGTTGAAAAGAACTTACTTAGATGACATGTGAGAAGTGATGGGATGAGATGAGATGGGGTGAGAAGAGCTCACATGATTTGAGATGAGGCGAAGTGCGGAGTGCGAAGTGCAAGTGTGAGGTGTGAAGAAAGTGTTCGCTTGGCGTTGCATTGCGCCGGGGTCGCGCGCAGGTCATGTTCTTGGACAACATCCGTGCAACAGCTTGGCACAAAGCACGCACGCACGGGCCTGGCTGGCGCACGGCGCATGCAAGTTCTATAGATGAGAGAGGTCTTATAGTGTATCCCTAAGGCAACTTCCGCCCTGCCTCGTGCGGGTACTACTGGTATAGATCTTTGCGTTGGTGATCTCCCAAGCATCAAATCGCCATTTTTTTTGGGAACACTTTCTCAATTTTTTTTGTGCTTCACATCCCCAACGCTAGGAATTGCTTGGCAAAAACGCTGAGCAACTGGACGAGTTGGTGCGCAGCAGCTGCATCGCGGCCAGCACGGGCTCTATGGCTCCGCTGGCTGTGGTGGTGTGACCGGGCCCATGCCCGGAACGACCAGGTGTGCGAAACTGTGCCCCAAAAACACCCCAAACCTGTATTTGTGTGTAGTTAGGTGATATCTCGATCCATCCCCATGACATTCTTGATCCCTCTTGCTGAAGCAACACTTGGTTGACCCGAATTCTGCATCAAGACCCCACCTGCCCAGCTGGGAGGTCCATGGTCGGAGAAATGCTGATGGATGAACCGTTCTGCTTTCCATGTTTAGTGAGGCGACTTTGTCGCATCAGCATACAGCGAGACATTACGCAGTTTGCCAATCTGCAGGATTCTCCGAAGGGACTGGAAGGGGCTGGAAGGTGTTAAACTGGTAAACCAACTAACGCAATTTTGTGGAGAAACCTGTGGAAAAATGGCTGCGGCTGAGTTGTGCATTTGGCACGCGAGCCCAGAAATAAACGACCGGGCGGCCTCGCGGTAGCTGCAGATTTGGTATAAGAAGTTGTATCAAAAGTCAGAACACTTGCTAGTCCCAGTCCCCCTGGCCTTAATTTTTCACCAATACCCGCATGTATTTCGTTTTGGCATCTAAACATGTGTAATGCGTCACCACCTCAGGGTCAGCAGATGATTGCAGGTTTTGCTTAATCATCTTTTATCTCCACTCAAGACACCATTTTAAGTATCTCCAAATCTATCAATTCATTCCTGTTGATGTGGCTTCTTTCAATAGAGCACCACGAAATTCCAGGCGTAGACGAGTATCTGGGCCGGGTGATGGCCGAGCTGCTGCCCTGGGCACAACACCGTTTCGGCCTCTCTGGGGAGCCTTCGGAGAGGCGATGGGCGATCCTGTGATACCAAGCTTTTTGACATTCAAAACATGACAAAACATGACAAAACAAAGTTTGCTTTCATGTGTTCGCACCTTTCCGAGACTATCGACTAGTGATTTTAGACTGCAACCTTTGAGTTCCCATGGTAGAACCTGGGCCATCCGGGGCAGATACTTTGGCGGTTCCTCTTTCGGTGGCATTTGTGCTCTGTACATGGCGATGAGATTTCCAGGCCGGCAACCGGCTGTCCTGCAACCAGCGGAAAATAGAGCCTAATGATCACATGTTAAACTGTTTAAATGTCCAATTTTCAAATGGATCATTTCGACATTCTTCGCTGTCCGGAGATTCATTTCACCCGCACTTCTAATATGATGCAACTCTATACAACATATTAGAACATTATACAACTATATATCGTGATCTTCAACCCAAAACTGGTTTCACTGGGGGTCTTGATCTCCAGCTCCCTTCTTCCGTTCGCAGAAACGGCTTTGATGAGGTGAATGGGCCGGTGTCATGGTGGAATCTCCCTCCTTCTGGGCCGGCGATGGTCGCTACATGGCCGACGTGGCGCAGCATGACAAGGGCTGGCAAGGGATCCTAGCTATCCTGTGGACAAGACAGGGGATATGTCGTGTAGATTCAGAGCGGATACAGAATTAAGCTTCACGGTTTGTTCACTGGGCTCAGAAGGGTTTGCGGTCAGATCAAGTGATGACCCGTCAGAGACAGGGTTTGGTTAGTTCAAGGCAGTTCCGCTGGGGATTCCAGTGGCTGCAGCAATTTAGTAGCTTTAGAATTAAAGAACACCCTTTTCAGCCGAGGCCCAACCGCATGTACTTGGCCATGGGCGAGTTTGAGTACACCGGCTTCAGAGGTACCGAAAGGCCAGGGGAAGTGACCCATGAAATTTGGAACCCCTAACTAAGCCATCAGCATGTGTCAAGGGAAAGCTGTCTTGAAACTTGATGCTGTTTTCAGCAAATCCCCCAAGGGTGGTGAGTCTCTTGCGAACCTGCAAGACTGAGACCATCAAAGTCTGTGGCGCAGGTTCTTGCAATTGCATGGGTATTTCTCCTGCTGAGCCGACCTGCAGTATCCATTGGCCCAAGAAGATTCTATGGATCATTGACATCAAAAACCAGACAATGTGCACTAGTCACTCGACATGACGCAACGGTTTTTCATGGCACATCCCGAACTTTCTGTAACTCATTATAGTTACTATACCTCAGCAGCCATGGAAGAAGCAGACAAGGTGGGAAGAGCTTGATGAGCAGTTGAGACTTGAGTCAAGCGTAGAAAGTCAGCAATCGGGATTGTATGATCTTTCCCTTTAGGACCAACCAATCACCAGATTCTGCATCTGCTAGGAGTCGGAAAACCTTTTCAACTCCGAAGCTTCAACTGCCGAAGCGAAGGCCTTGGGGTCTTGGGGTGTCTCGGAGACAGACATGGTTCAATCATGATGAATCTATCAAAACAAACTAAAACAAATATTTTATCTTGTTCAAGTTCTGAATCATTTTTCCGAAAGGGATGAACAAACAATCAGGTTAAATGGTATGGGCTTAGTCCTGTTGAACCCATAGGATGTGTTACCTTCTCCTTCATCGACTGAACAGCAAGAGGACGAGCCGCTTTTGAGAGAGCCACATGTTGGAAGCACCGTGACCGCGTCATTCGTCTTTTCAAATCTTTCTACTGCTGATGTCGAGCATTCTGTTCAGCATGACCTCACAGACTTGAATTGGATTTATGTCTTGCATTCTCTTGAGTTTCTTTGTTCTTACGGAGACACAAGGTCATTTTTGACAGCTAGTGTGACCGAATTACATAGTCTCGCAGCCTCCGGGTCTGGAAAGTTTCGCATTGTCTTGCAGTCTTGTATGTCTTTGCTCACACACACACAGACAACATCAGACAACAGGACCAGGATTCTTTCGAGGAGTTGCTTTCACGCGGACGGCAGCTGGATGATTCTTTCGAGGACTTGCGTGGACGAACGTAGGGACAGATGAATCAAGAGGACAGGTGACATCACTTGGACTTGATGTAACTTGATCCTGTCGAACCCATAGGATATTGGGCCCGAGGGTTCAGAGGACGAGCTGCGCCGTTTGAGAGAGTGGCATTTGGGGGGAGCATTGTGGCTCTGTCATTGCAAATGTACCTGATACTCTTCGTTTCCCACTTTTTTCCATGCTTTCCCTAGACCTTTCACTGTTTCTTGAGCACAGTCTCCTTAGCTTGCACCCTTGGGATCTGTGGTGTGTTTGGCTCTCTTCTGCACAACTTCGCATTGTGATCATTGTGTTGCCCTAAGGCCCTAAGGCTTTCTTTCTCTCTACTTTGATATATTACATGCAGAGAGAGTCAGAGATCCAAGATGAGTTATATTTGTTTCTTTGCTTGGAACTTGTGGAGAGCAAGCAATGTGTTGTCAATATAGTTGCCAGAATGGCTATGCCATTCTGGCTCAAGTCCTCCCCTACGCTACACTAATTACATTACATTACAGTACAGCTGCAGCTACCACTACATTGCACTACACGACACCACACTACAAGTACAACTACACTACATTCCGCTACAATACACTAGGCTACACTACACTATACCACGCTACAGTACACAACACTACAGTACATTACAATACACTACATTAATTACACCACACCACAACTATAACTGCAACTGCAACTACACTACACTAATTACACTACATTACAGCTACAACTTACAACTACAACTCCACAACACTACAATTGCAGCTACACCTACAACTACAACTGCGACTGCACTACACCACACTACATCCAGCAGTTGTGGTGAGATGACCACTGCAACCATTGCAACCACTCCAGAAAACTCAACTCCAGCCACCTTCGGGTCCATCAGTGGATTCGCTCTGCCATCCGTGAGTCACAGCAACCAACCCTTCCTATAGGCGGTGGCGGAAGTTTCAAAAATAGGAAACCTATAGGAGAGGAATCACGGATGGCATTGCAAATCCACTGATGGACCGACAGGTGGTTGGAGTTGTGTTTTTGGAATGGTTGCAGTGGTCACCTTACCACAACTGCTGGATGTAGTGTGGTGTAGTGCAGCTGTAGTTGTAGTTGCAGTTGTAGCTGTAGTTGTGTGTAGTGGAGCTGTAGCTCTAATGTAGTGAATGTAATGTAATTAGTGTATTTGCAAGCGCAGTTGCAGTTCTGGCCGTGGTGTGGTGTAATTAGTGTAGTGTAGTGCAGTGTAATGTCGTGTAGTGTTGTGTTGTGTAGTGTAGTGTAAGGTAGTGTAGCTGTAGTTGTAGTGTAGTGCTGTGTAATTAGCGTAGTGTAGTGTAGCGTAGGGTAGCGTAGTGTTGTGTAGTATGCGTAGTGTAGTGTAGTGTGGTTGTAGCTGTAGTTGTATTTGTAGTTGTAGTGTGCTGCAGTGTAATTAGTTTAGTGTAGTGTAGTTGTGATTGTAGTTGTAGTTGTGGTAGTAGTTGTTGTTGCAGTTGTGAGTGCAATTGCTGTAGAGTAGTGTAATTGGATGTAATTAGTGTAGTGTAGTGTAATCAGTGTAGTGTAGTGTAATTAGTGTAGGGAGGGCTATTTTTTTTTGGATTTTTTTCCCGTTTTCTGGTGGAAGGAAGGAAGGAAGGAAGGAAGGAAGGAAGGAAGGAAGGAAGGAAGGAAGGAAGGAAGGAAGGAAGTGTAGCTTGACAGGTCATGAACAGCGGTAGAGGTTCACCAACTGGTGACTTTCACTTCCAGGGGAGAGGAAAAAGATGCCTGGAGAACGAGGGCCATCATCAACATGAGCATCATCATCAACATGAGCATCATCATCAACATTATCATCAAAATTGACATCATCATGAACCTGATGATACATTATCCTTTTGCTCCCCCCGCACTGTTTGGGCCTCTTGCCGGGATAATGTGAAATCATTTTTCCAAGGAGGTGCCAAAGCCAAGCGTAAATGGATTGGATGGACATTTTTTTTGAGGATGTTGTGTTTCATTCTTTGTTACGACAACACGTGCAATATCAACTAGCAAAAGTACAACGACGCTAATCATGTTGTTTAAGGACTAGAACTTCAAGGCGCATTCTGATAGCTCCCCAGCAAAGTATTTGCACGTTTGTGCTTCAACTTAAACTACATTCTACATTTTGACAAGGTACATTTTGTTTCATACTTACATCATGGGTATCGTATTCAACCAGCAGCATTACATGTGAGAATAAGTATTGACACTCTGATTTGGGATCGAGTCGCTGCGCTCCTGTTTTTGTTTGGATCCAACCCTATCAGCGCATATGCAGGAGTAAAGTCTATAGTAAATCAATTAGTCTAAGCGCGTGCTTTGCTGTAATGCTATGACAAAGCCACAAAGGTGGATGATATGGCCCACCTTCTGTTTCAAGCGTATGTGATCAAACTTGTCGTCAAAATTCAAGTGCGTGCTTTGCTGCCATGCTGTGACAAAACCACAAAGGTGGATGATATGGCCCACCATCTTTGCCGCTACAAAAAGGTGGATGGTATGGCCGACCAACTGCTACGTCTAGTATTACGGTATTACTGCTACCGCTGTATGCTGTGACAACGCCACAAAGGTGGATGATAAGGCACACCTACATTGCGAATGAATGTATCATGACCATGTGACGCTTTGCGTGGGGAGGCGCTGCGCCCTTGTTTTTGTTTTAACTTGAACCCTACATGGGTACTGCATGAGTATTGAGCATATTTATATACACTGTCAAGGCCCAAGAGAGATATAAAGTAATCCTGTGGACACCACTCATGTGACGCTTTGCGGGGCCCCAATCCCCCCTCCCGCTTCTTTGTATTTAAAATTTAAACCCAAGCTCGTAAATACATTCGTTGGGGTTGGCATGATGATGTGGTGAACATGCTGGTGTGAATGCTAGCCATGACCATCGTCCGCAACTTGCATTTTTGCGGTCTAACCTTCTCTGGAAAGCTGACGGATTACATGTGAGAAGAGATGCTTGCATTCTGCTTTGGAGGGTGCCTGCCCTCACAACTCCACAACAGTGCTACACTTCAGGGACTTCAGGGTGGTAATTTCTGCTTCCCCATTCGTCATGCGTGCTATCGCCAAACTGGTTCAAGTCTTCAAGGTGTGAACACTGCGTTAATTTCTGCTTCCTGTGCTCGCGGTAGGTGGTAACTATGTATGTGTTAACTTCTGCTTCCCGTGCCTGTCTTTGCCATGCCTGCTGTGACAATGCCACAATGGTGGATGATAAGGCCCGCCAACCAGTCCGCAAGGTAACCCCATCGACATGGACGGGCTGAGGTAGGGCCGAAGCTTCTCCAGGTTGGGGCTGCTGAGCGTGCTGCTATTGTTTGCGGTATGTACCAACTGACCAACCAACCAAGCAAGCGTTTAACCCTCAACCGCCCAGCATGCTTGCTGTGCTTCCGAGCTGTGACAACGCCACAAAGGTGGATGATACGGCCCACCTATGCTGTTCTGTTTGTGTTGTTGCCCGCGTGCGGCTCCTCTACGACATGGGAGTGCTGAGCATACTTTAAAACGCTGTCATGGCCCAAGAGAGATATAGAGGTAGCATTGTAGATTCGGCACAGCACAGATGAGGTAATTGGCACACAGAGGAAAAGCAATGCTTGCAGCGTGTGAAGGCGCTCTAGCTGACCGTTTATAGACTTGATGGACGCTATTGCCTTTCTTCAGGCCTCCCCCCAAATCCCCCTTTTCGGTTTTTATTTGATTCCAAGCCTGCGCGCCTGCAAATGCACCATTATGTATTTTACCGTGAAAAAAGTCCACACATACATATACATCTTGCCAAAATACATTTGAAATATCTTGAGATCAACCGGTAGCCAACCTGAAAGAAATTTTCATCAGATTCTGAACCAGTCTTACTAAAACTTTAAACCAACCCTAAATAGCTAACTTGAAATAGGTTGTAAACCAACTTTAAGCCATAAGATAACCAACCAACCAACCAACCAACCATCCATCCATCCATCCATCCATCCCTCCGTCCATCCATCCATCCAACCACAACAACAACAACAACAACACCATGCAAATCAGAGAGCTTAGATGCAAAACGCTGCAAATACCAATCAAAACCATCAAACCCCAAAAAACGGGAAACAATTCCCAAAAAAAAACGGGAAAAATTCCCCAAAAAAATTGCAGCCCTTAGTGTAGTGTAATGTGGCGTAGTATATTTGCATTTGTAGTTGTAGCAGTAGCGTAGTGTAGTGGCAGTTGTAATTATCTATCTATGTATCTATCTACCTACCTATCTATCTATCTATTTGTTTGTCTGCCTGTCTACATAATATATGTCTTGCAATACATGATGCACACATGATATTTACATATTTACATGTAATCACATATATTTACACATACTCACATTTATTTACACATATTCACAGATATTTACATATAGATATGTATATATCTAAGGAATTTCGTGAACCCTAATTTTAGCGAATATTCTGAGGGTGGACCCTCAATAAGCGTTTTGACTACATGAAAGCTCAAAATGGAAGGTTTTCGCGCTTAATTTTCGATGATTCTAAGTTGAAAACGCATATTGAGCAAGTGGTTTTCCCGGTGGTATGTGCAGGGCCTGGCCCGGACATTCAACCCGCAAACATTGTCAGATCTTGCCATTCCTGAGCTTAAGGTTTATTCAATTTTCTGATAATGATTGCGCTATATGCGTTTTGAGCGCTTGGAGAGTGAAAAACAACATTTGCTGTTTTCCCTTTTGACAAATTAGACTGTAAATTTGCATATCGCCTGTTTGGAAGTGACCCAACCACAAAGATATTCACTTTCCTATATGCCAATCTGCGTTGATATAGTCATTTAAGTTTTATTTTTGTTGCAATGGAATCTCAATGTAGCATGCTTCTCGGCTGGATGATCCTGAGCATCTTATCCGCTGGATGATCCTGAGCAGCATTCTCACAACTAAATGCTATTATCATTATCCCGGAAAGTCAAACGAACAAACGCTTCATGAAGAAACAGCATATTCATGTTGGCACGCGGGCACTTAACGAACAAACAAGTCTGAGGACAACCGCCCCAATCTTTCAAAGCCAAACGGTTTGAAGCGTTGCCGCTCTCAATTTTTGAAAAAAACGGTCCCTATAAAGTGAAATTCTGATGTTATCCTCCGAAAACTTTGGTGATATGATATCATGTGACATCCTGAGAAACTATATGCTGATCCTCTGGGCTGGTATCAGAAAATTCTGATGATATCCCCAGAGTTTATGGCTGGTAACGTGATAAATTTCTGCTGAAATTTCGATGAGTCCATTCTGATGATATCCTCAGACAGGTCCGATATTCCTCACAAATTTCTGATGATAATTCCGATGATATCCTTAGAAAGGTTATGATGAGACGCTGGTGATATCCGCAGAAAACAGTCGCAATTTGCGCTGAAAATATTGGCTACAAAATATCCTCGGACTTTGTAGCTGATGTGTTGCAACAAAAACTGATCCTTGATTAGCATAATTTCATATATATATATATATCAGAACTTTTTGATGGTTATCAAACAAACAATTCTGGAGACTCCTCCAAATTTACTGAGGAACACTCAAAATCTTCGGAGGAGCCTTCAGACAGATTTCCCTGAGGAATCATCAGCTTTTTTTGAGGATCCTCAGAATTTTCTGAGGATCGTCATCCTCAGAATTTTCTGAAGATCCTTATGCTGAGAATTTTCTGAGGGTCTTCATCCTCAGAATTTTCTGAGGATCGTCATCCTCAGAATTTTCTGAAGATCCTAAGAATTTTCTGAGGATCGTCATCCTCAGAATTTTGTGACGATCCTCAGAATTTTCTGAGGATCGTCAGAAATTTCTGAGGATCGTTATCCTCAGAAATTTCTGAGGATCGTTATCCTCAGAATTTTCTGAGGATCGTCATCGTCATCCTCAGAATTTTCTGAGGATCCGCAGAATTTTCTGAGGATTGTCATCCTCAGAATTTTCTGAAGATCCTCATGCAAAATTTTCTGAGGATCGCCATCCTCAGAATTTTGTGAAGATCCTCAGAATTTTCTGAGGATCGTCATCCTCAGATTTGCTGAAGATCCTCAGAATTTTCTGAGCATCCTCAGAAATTTCTGAGGTTCGTTATCCTCAGAATTTTCTGAGGATCGTCATCGTCATCCTCAGAATTTTCTGAGGATGCTCAGAATTTTCTGAGGATCGTCATCCTCGGAATTTTCTGAGGATCGTCATCCTCACAATTTTCTGAGGATCGTCATCCTCAGAATTTTCTGAGGATCCTCAGAATTTTCACTCGATAAGCGTTTTTTTGTTTGAAAATAAGCCTTTTTTTTGGCACATATTCATGAAAAAAACGCTTATTGAGCGAAAATTCTGTGGATCCTCAGAAAATTCTGAGGATGACCATCTTCAGAAAATTCTGAGGATGATGATCCTCAGAAAATTCTGTGGATCCTCGGAAAATTCTGAGGATGACGATCCTCAGAAAATTGTGAGGATGACGATCCTCAGAAAATTCTGAGGATGACGATCTTCAGAAAATTCTGAGGATGACGATCCTCAGAAAATTCTGAGGATCTTCAGAAAATTCTGAGGATGACGATCCTCAGAAAATTCTGAGGATCCTCAGAAAATTCTGAGGATGACGATCCTCAGAAAATTCTGAGGATCCTCAGAAAATTCTGAGGATGACGATCCTCAGAAAATTCTGAGGATCCTCAGAAAATTCTGAGGATGACGATCCTCAGAAAATTCTGAGGATCCTCAGAAAATTCTGAGGATCCTCAGAAAATTCTGAGGATGACGATCCTCAGAAATTCTGAGGATTCTCAGAAAATTCTGAGGATGACGATCCTCAGAAAATTCTGAGGATGAGGATCCTCAGAAAATTCTGAGGATGACGATCCTCAGAAAATTCTGAGGATGAGGATCCTCAGAAAATTCTGAGGATGAGGATCCTCAGAAAATTCTCAGCATAAGGGTCTTCAGAAAATTCTGAGGATGAGGATCTCAGAAAGTTCCCGGGATGACGATCCTCAGAAAATTCTGAGGGTCCTCAGAGAATTCCGAGGATGGCGATCCTCAGAAAATTCTGAGGATTCTCTATATTTTTTTTACAATCACCAGAAAATTTGCTTAATGACAATTCCAATAATTATTGGATATATCCGGTGTTCGTCATCACGACGATGCTTGCAAAAAAGTTTCTCCAAGAGCAAAGTCAAGCACGAAGCACGGCCCTATTGTGTACACAGACAACACGCAGTGTTTTACTTGTTTTGTTGTTTTTCTCTGACCATCAAAGCTATATTTGTTTTAAAATAGACCAAAACATGATGATAATCATCAAATGTATTTGATATTCAATCACCAGATATATCCAGAGATTGTCAGAATGATGAACCTTGGCAAATCTGATTCTCAAAGGAAAAACAAACACAAAGCATGCCGTTATTTTGTATACATACAGCACGCGCTGTTTTACTTGTTGTGTTTGCCTCTTTTTCCGTGCTCAAAATTACCTGATGCATGTCGCGAAAATGATATCCTGATAAACTCCTCATGATATCCTTCAAACGTTCTGATGATCATCTGTAAATTCTGATATTCTCGGAAATGGTTCATGATATCCTCAGATAAATCTGATGACCCTCAGAAATTTCTGAATGTATCCCCCAGAGGTTCTGCTGATATCCTAGAATCCTAGAACATCCTAGATGCTTTATGATGATACCGTCAGAGAATTATTTCTCAAACAATTCTGATCCTCAGAGATTGTTTTATCCTTCGGAAACTGTGATGGTATCCGCAAAAACAAAATTTCCATCATTTTCCAAAAGTGACATCCTCCACAATGCCCCATTTTATCCTTTGAACATGTTGCCATGTTGTTCATTTTCCTTTAAACAGTTTTATATAGTTTTATCATGTACATCCAAAAAATATTGGAAACTGTCTTGATGTACGTTCAGGATATTCTGACTGCCACAAGAACTTTCTCTTGATATATGTGGATATCCTGAGAAAATTCGGATGATATCCTCACACAATCCGATGGTATTTTTCCTCAAACCCAGTAAATCACATGGTTGATTGGTATAGCTGGCAGAAATCCGCCAAAATCTTACTTCACACTGAAAAGGGAAATTAAGGTCCCTGCCACCCAAAATACATTAAACGCGCATATTACACAAAAAATGGACCTCGCAACATGTACTATTTTTTTTCGATGGTTCCCTGCATTCATGGTAAATGTTGGTAAATGGGTTTTCCTGACATAAGTGGTTAGGTTCCCCAATATGCGTTCATGGCGCACGTTTTTTTTTTTGATACACCTTAAACGCATATTGACCCCCCCGCTAACAGAATTGGACCATAAACGCATATTGGGCAAATAAACAGGACTTCACGAAATTTACTATATATATCTATATATAGTCCTAGACAGCACATGAAAATCAAACAAAACATCGACAACTATGCGCAACCCAAGTGAGATGGATAAAACATTGTAAAATGTAAAAACACCATGGGCAATGCAAGCGAGGTTCACATCTCGCTGTCCAGTCCCCGAACTGCAGGAGTGCTGCAGTGTGGAGGAACTCACAGAGTGGGCTCGGAGGGAGAAGTTGGGCACCAAGTTCGTGTCTGCCATTGGGGAGGTTGTGAAAAATGGCGGGTTGCGGAAGGTCAACGACAAGTTTTTGTTGGAAGAACTGAACATTCGACTTCTACCAATGCGGCGGACAATCCTCAATGCGATCAAGCGAAAGCTTGTCGGAAATAAGACCGTCCGCTTCGGGGAGGTGGAGAAGTTTGAGCCGATCCTGATCAACAAACCCAAGTTCAGCAAGTGTCCGTGGATCGACCTTGCAGAAATTGAAGAACGGAACGACCAGGCGACTTTGCGGGCCGCCATGAGGACCTGGCGCTTCTGCGCCACTGGCCTCGATGGTCAAGAGGAGAGATCGTTAATGTACGATGCCTTTAATGCTTGGAAACCCAAGCCGAAGGCCGGGAGCTGCGTTCTGGGGTGGATTCTCTGGATTCATCTCTTGATTCATTGGATTCTTCATGATTCTTCATCTCTTGCTTCGCGGGACATCTTTGATTCAGCTCCAATAAACCGATCATGGCCGTAGATGCAGGCCATTGCAGTGCAGTTCAAAAGATTCTGGGGACACTCCATCAAGGAGTCAAGGGTGTCATGAAATGTCTGTGAGTGCTATACCATTGTAGTCATGCCATTTCATGGGGTTTCACATTTCAAACGGGTTCAGTTCAGTCTTATCAATTCAATGACACGACCCAGGTGATAGTGACATGATCATACTTGCAAGTGCTTCAGTCATCCATGGAATCATCTAATCACCCCCTAGTTGAATCATGAACGATGTGGAGTCATCTGTCAGGGCATCCTGGAGATGTTTCAGGACTCGGAATCTGGAAGTGATCCGTTGTACTCTGTGGGCGTCGCAAGCAGACTTGTTGAATGTTTCCGGAGCTGTTCACCAGCTGTCACCTGGCCTTTGTTCCGTTTCTATCACTTTCTATCCATTTCTTACACAGATTCTGTATTCGCCAGGACATGCTGGAAGAAGGCATTGGAGTAATGGCCTCGGTTTGGATGGGAAATCCACACCACTCACCCCCTGTCTTGCAGCAACTCTGCGGCAACTCTCCGCTTTTTTAGGCCTTCTTCACTTCAATATCTTCAATGCCATGTTGCTGCAGGCTTGTGGTATTGGTGTTCACGACCAGTAGGGGGGAAGTGTCAAAAATATAATTAGAGAGTATATACTGTACAGGAAAATAGTGTGGAGACAGGTAAGCAGATTCATTGAACAGTCTTGTGGATGACTTCGCTTGATGACTTCGAATCTCTCTGCAGGGAGAAGCATTTGGCGTGAAGTGATTCAGGCACCGGGAACAGCGAGTCGTGGGATGGACATTTTGGACGGATGAACTACTGATGAATCTCTTTTGTCAGCGTGGCAAACGTTTGAAGAAGTTTGAACTTCAGGCTGTTCTTTGCAGATGACTTTGCAGATGTGAACGGGAGGAAGCGTCCAAAGCTGGCGCGACTTCTACGCTGAGCGGCACTGTGCAGCGGTTGGCTGGGACTCTGCGTGAATCCTGAGACATGATGCAAATGGTCAGACAAGTTTCCGGCGAAACCAGAGCCCAGGTTCTAGTCAGGCTGTAAAACTGTGACACAAGATTGGGAAGCATCGTGAACCCCCAGGCATCCTGCTGCACAGCTATAGTAACACCGGTACACGCTGCGGAAAACTCGTGCAGCGTATCGATTGTATGACTTGGCATGCAAATGCCGAGCCATTGGTCCAACGTTTGAGAGTGCAACTATAGCGTCATCCATTCTCATCGCAACGACTTGAGCAAGTCATAAGTTAGAAATCATCAAAATACGTCATGGGCTGCATCATTGGACGGCAATTTTTGGGACAACCTCTTAGTTGCAGCTCCAGTATCCAATTTGTTGTGACTTTTGGCTCGGCAAAACCAGAGATTGTACTCTCAGTATCTCTCAGTACTCTCATGCTGCTCGTTGTGACTCCGACCGGTTGTCCACGAGAAGAAACAGGTCTGTCTCCGATCTGGGAACCCACGCCCCACGCCCCAGAGAAAAAAGATCATGCCGTAGGTGGTGAAGAAGGAAGGGCCATGATGGATGCTGAGGTGAAATTGCAGTTCCTTATGATTATGGGATATTATCGGTCGATTTGTCACCATTAATGGGGGAATACTATGTGGTTGAGTATGTATCCAGCTCAAACATCACTTTGGGGCTCAGTTCGCCTGCAAGATCGGGATGGGTTAGTTGGCCCTCAAGACCACAATGGAGTGGATATTTTTAGCAGCACAATTTGGACCGCGGCTCATACATGTGGGCAGGTTGATTTCACAATTTGCCATCCCCCTAACCAACATAGACCCTCCCTCTCACCAACACAGCCGTTGTCAAACAAGGGGTTGGAAGATTACTTTCTTCCACTTGCCCTTAAACACGGCTGATTCTCAGGGTCTATGTTGTTTGAGGGGATGGTAAGGGTAAGCAAAACCTTCAGATTCACAGAGGACTAGAGTGGACCCACGGCAACAGGCCCGGCAGCCTGCAGTGTGATGCCTTCCTTCGGGATGCTTGTGGTGAGTGCGCAGGTCGGGTGGGCCAAAGGAAGTAGATCATTACATTAAGAGGGAAGCGACACCAGAATTTCCCCTTGCGCTATAAATTACTTAATTGATCTTAATTGGGGATTTTTCCGTCAAGTTTAGATAGCAGGAGAGTTCCTGCAACTTGTCTTGTACCAATAATTAAGTCTTTATTTGCATCTGTTTACCATCCAATTTTTGTAATACATATGTTGTACTAGGGAGGGGTAGCACAGTTGCGACCAGCGGACAGGACACCTCGAAGGCACAGAGTTGCTGTGGCTGGTGGAACCGGGTGGCAAGCACAACGAACGTGACTGGGGGCGACGTCTGCCCTGTGCCCTGCGCCGTGGCTGGAGGGTGGAGAGAGTAGCTGGAGACTGGCTGGGGGATTCAAGTCACTTGTGAGCTCTGTCAGAGTTGAGCATGGGAAGATACCGCGTTCCTCGCTTCAGGAAGCAATGGAAATAAACAAAGATTAGACGAGATGAGATGGATAGATCCGTACTTCAGCATTTGTTCATTTGGGCAGTGGTCCATTTGCTCAGGCGTTGGCTGCTGGCCCCAGAGGTGCCTGAGGCGGCGGAAGTGTTTTGGACCAGGTGCGATGGAAAGAAAGGACCATCGCTGGTGGCAATTTTCATGGCATTATGATCCAACTTGATCATTTCTGTTTTTGGCTTGTTTTTTGGGGTGTTGGGGATGAACTCCCCAACCATCAAGATTTTCACGGCACCTTGAGATGTAGACCCGCAGAAATCAGCTGCTGATTTTCTTCGACTTCTTCCATGCCCCAATTTTCTGTTCCTGCAGTAGGCCGTCTCCTGTGCCGTCCGGCGGAGCGTTTGAGCTCCTGGTGCACAAGGAGATGCTGTCGCTGCCCGTGAGGGAAAGATATCAGGCAGGGCTGCGTGACGCCAAATTGGATACCAAGGGACCACTCATGATGGCAATCCCAAGGCATTGGCGAAGTATGCAAACAATCAATGTTTCATAAGGATTATTTATGATATTTATGGAGGATGTACGAAACTCACAGTGTTTAACTATTTCGGTATGCGCGCGTCCAAGATTTTTCCTTTTCTCAGCTTCACACAGCGCCCAGGTTCACCTGGGCTTTGATAATTGGTCTTCTGGGATCCAATGCTGCAATCTTCTGCCATCCGGCCTGGCCAAAGAGGAGAATGGCAGTGCCATACTGGCAGCCTTGGCCACTGGGACCCAGAATTACCCAGAATTACTTTGTTTTCGCGGGGCAGCATGCTGTATACATCTGTATACTGTATACTAGTATACAGCAAATATCAGAAAATGGTGTCATGTTTTTACATTTTCAATTATTTTCATGGGGAAAGCTCGAGAAAACATGTGATAATTCGTGCTTGGGGGTAGCCCGTTTGGAGGCAAGTGGATGTCCCAGCTTGAGGCATATGCGCCGCCGGGTTCAGCTTCCATGCACTTCGCGTTGACCAATGGGGTCACTTAACTACAACAGCCGGAGCTTTTGGTCTTTTGGGAGCAATAGGAGGTGACACTTTGTTGGGATACAATGTGGATCAATTTTTGCTCAATAATCGCAAGTAAGAAACTTTTGGAGGTCATTCTTTGAAGCAAGCTCAATCGAGGATGTCACTCCAACTCCAACTGTTCCTTTTCTGTCCGCTTTCTGGGGTCGATTTATTGGTACGGGATCAGCGAAGGCAACGTGTGTGTTTTGAAACGGATGGTGGCCCAATTCTTTAAAGTTTGAGTTGACTTTCATAAAGTTCACGGGTTGAACAACTAAATTTTGAGCTGAAATCCTGTATAGAAACGAGTTTGATAAGCAACCCGGCGCTTTTTCCCAAAGGGAACATGGATATGCAAAGAGGTGCACATTACACTTGCTCTCAATGTTCTCAATATCCAAATTGCTATGGTTCAGAATTCTCGACTCAAACTTCATCAAACTTCTCTGCTTCAGTACCCCAGAACTGATCAAGTCACGGCCGCATTTTTGCCCCAGTTCCTGGCAACGAATTGCCCAGCCTTGCTGCGAGGTAGAGTGGGACAACAACCAAGAGAAAAACTATGAACTTCCGGTGAGGTGATCCAATTGTTTAGCAGGTCCTGGCCGACCTCCTGTTTGGAGGACCTACTCGCACTTGGGGTTTGGGTTAGATTAACGGTTAGATGTGTAGATTCCATCATGGCTGGGAGGGGTAGCCGTGAATTTGGTGCTATCATCATGTTGCCCACTACAGTGGAAATTAAAGACTCCGATTACCCTGGAAGCCTTGCAAGAGCGGCCAGGACATGCCCAAAGTGTGACCACTTGTGCAGCGGGAAAATGATGGGCGGGAATCCGAACCACTGAGCAACCCCAGTCAGCCTGGTCTAGTTGTTTTATGCTGCTTTAATTGTTTTGGACATTTCACCTTTTAATCTGCAGTGGCCAATTTGTCCGCTTCAACTGCAGCACCTTGCTTCTTTTTGCATTTTCCGGTTGGATGGTGAAATCGTTCATTTTGTCGGCAGATCCAGAGTTTAATCTTTAATCGCTTCCCTTGCCGGTTCGCCCCTCTCAATCCTCTATTGTAGCCATGGCCGAGCCTGCGCAGAAGAAGGCCCGCACCAGCCGCACTTTCCTCTTCTCTTCCGAGTCTGTCAACGAGGGCCATCCTGACAAGATCTGCGACCAGGTGTCCGATGCAGTGCTGGATGCATGCCTCAAGGTGGACCCCAAGAGCAAGGTGGCTTGCGAGACTGCAACCAAGGACAACATGGTCATGGTGGCAGGTGAGATCACCACTGAGGCCAAGTTGGACTATGACAAGGTTGTGCGAGGAGTCGTGGCACAGATCGGTTTTGACAGCTTTGTGGATGACCTGTCCAGCGTGGACAGCAAGGGATTGAGCCACAAGAGCTGCGAAGTGCTGGTGCGCATCAACAAGCAGAGCCCTGACATTGCCGGTGGCGTCCATGTGAACAAGGAGGACTTGGACGTGGGTGCCGGTGACCAGGGCATCATGCTTGGATATGCCAGTGATGAGACATCTGACTGCATGCCTTTGACCCACTCCATGGCCACGCGTTGGGGCAAGACCCTGACTGATGTTCGCAAGAGCGGTGAGTGCTGGTGGTTGCGCCCAGATGGCAAGACCCAGGTGACCATTGAGTACCTGCAGCACCCTGATGGCTCCGTTGAGCCAAAGAAGATCCACACCGTGGTGATTTCCACTCAGCACGCTGAGCCTCTGAAGGCTGTGCGCAGCAAGGAGTGCGAGGGCTACAAGGGAGCTGAGATGACTGCCCCAAGCATGGAGCAGATGAAAAAGGAGATTGAGGAGAAGGTGATCAAGCGCACTCTTGAGCAGATCAAGCTGAAGAATGGCCAGCCTGCCATCAGCCTGTGTGGTAGCCCTTAGGGTGATGCCGGTCTCGCTGGCCGCAAGATCATCATCGACACCTACGGTGGCTGGGGTGCTCGTGGTGGTGGTGCGTTCTCTGGCAAGGACGCTACCAAGGCGGACTGATCCGCAGCCTACATTTGCCGACAGATGGCAAAGTCTGTGGTGAGCAGCGGCTTGAGTGCACGATGCCTTGTGCAGTTCTCTTATGCCATTGGTGTTGCCAAGCCATTGTCTCTCTTCGTGGAGACCTATGGAAGTGAGAAGACCGGCCTCACCGTGAACGACATCACCAGCATCTTGAAGCACCTTGGTGGTTCCTTCCGGACCGCTGTCGGCGTGCACGGGGGACAGCGTAAAACTGCTTGTCAGGGCGTGTTTATGTTCATTTCGCTCACTGTAGCCAGTGTTTCGTGATGGTACGTTGAAGTTGTGCCCGTGAGTTAGAAGTTGTGCCCGTCAGTTAGAAGTTGTGCCCGTCAGTTAGAAGTTGTGCCCGTCAGTTAGAAGTTGTGTCCGTCAGTTAGAAGTTGTGCCCGTCAGTTAGAAGTTGTGTCCGTCAGTTAGAAGTTGTGCCCGTCAGTTAGAAGTTGTGCCCGTCAGTTAGAAGTTGTGCCCGTCAGTTAGAAGTTGTGCCCGTCAGTTAGAAGTTGTGCCCGTCAGTTAGAAGTTGTGCCCGTCAGTTAGAAGTTGTGCCCGTCAGTTAGAAGTTGTGCCCGCCCGCATGACATGTTATTATTTTTGGGGTGGGGAACAGGGGGGAGGGGAACAGGGGGGGGGGGGGGGGGGGGGGGAACACTCACACACGCGTGATGTTACGCAGTAAGATCTTCTCCGGCACATGCACACACGCGTGAAGTTACGTAGTAACATCTTCTCTGGCACTTGCACACATGCATGATGTTACGCATGTCGGCGCGCGCCCACAAAGGACCGAAACGTTGTTTGAATGTTTGATTGAGACAGTCCAAGTCAAGACGGTCCAAAGTAGAGTTGCGCAGAGTTCCGCAGAGAATCCACCCGTTGGGAGTGAAACTGCCGAACTTTGGAACGAGTCTAGGGTCAGACGTCCGCATTTTAGTATTCTAAGATATTGCAAGATATTCTAAGATATTCTAAGATATTCTAAGATATTCTGAGATATTCTAAGATAGTCTAAGGTATTCTAAGATATTCTAAGATATTCTAAGATATTCTAAGATATTCTAAGATATTCTAAGATATTCTAAGATTCTTGGACTCTTGGACCTTGGATCTCAGCAAAACATGCTTCTCAAGATTTGTGACTCCGGAACTTTTTCAACTTTTTTTGGTCATCTTGCTGCAACTGATCTGTAAGAGTTTTTGGATGTTTGATAAGCTTTCATCTCAGGATTGAGTTCGACTGCCGTCCTGGTGCCATCGCGCAGTCCTTGGCATTGCGCGAGCCAAAGTACCAGGAGACCGCAGCATACTGCCACTTCGGCCGTGAGCCAGTCACCAGGAAACTCTCCTTGCATTTAAGCACCCTCTTAGATTCCTGACAGACTTGGCCCACCAAATTGTTTCTTTGACCCCCACCATGTTTTTTTGACCCCTGGTTTTTGGACCCCCTAACCTTGATTTTTTTACTTGTTCCAAACCAGTTTTTCTGACCCCTGGACCTGTTTTCCTGACCCCTGGTCATGCAGTCTTCACCCATGGTGGCTTTCCCATGCTTGGCAGAACCACCGCCACCATCACCACCATCAACACCATCCTTGCCACCTACTGTATGTACTGTATATACTGAATATTGTAAAAACATATAACATATTTTATGTATATAATGAATAGAATGTATATAATCTCTTTAATGTATATAATGTATATTATGTATATTATGTATATAATGTCTTCGTAATTATACTGTATAGAATATATACAATGTATACCAGTAGTACCGCACAAGGTGGTGGCGGAAGTTTCAAAAATAGGAAACCTATAGGAGAGGTTGGTTGTTGTGAATCAGGGATGGCAGAGCGAAGCCACTGATGGACCGAAAGGTGCTTGAGGTCTCCTCTATTTCTCTCTCTTTCTCTGGCTATCTACCTACCTACCTACCTATCTATCTATCTATCTACCTATCTATCTATCTAATCTAATCTAATCTAACCTAATCTAATCTAATCTAAACTAATCTAATCTAATCGATCGATCGATCGATCTATCTATCTATCTTCCATCTATCTATCTGTCTGTCTGTCTGTCTGTCTATCTGTCTATCTGTCTATCTGTCTAT